TATGAATAAACTAGTCAAGTAAATGTTTTTTTATAAATATAAATAAATGTATTTACTTGTAACAAGTAAATATATTTAATTAAATAAACCATAAACATTTTCAGCTATTGTTTATATAAAAAATTTTAAGACGTGTAAAAGTTTTGAAAATAAGAGATTATTTCAGAAATATTGAGATCAAATAACTGTTGTTTAACTATGCATTTAAAATGTTGAATTGAGTTTATCATTTTAATATAATTTGTGTGAAATGTGTTATACAATTTTGGTCTTCTTCTAGATATTGAGAATTCGGATTGTTGCAAAGACATTTTTGGAATCTAGTAGTTCTGCATAAAATGTTTTGTTCTGTATTTGTGATAAATAAGTTGGAAGCAATTATGGAATATTTTTAAGACCAAATTATTTTTTAGTTTAAACATAAACTCAAGGATGCTAATGATGTTTTGTTCATATTTATTAAAAATTCTAAGTTCTTTAATTACTTGTTCATTACTAGCATATCAAATTGTTAATATCTGGGATCCTTCCTTTTAATTTTAATAGATTAAGTTTGGGGGGATATAGGCCTATAGTTTGGAGGAAGATCGGCCTATAGTTTGAAAAAGTAGAGTTTTTTCCGCTTTTGAATATCGGAACTGCGCGTACTAATTTTAAGTGTTCATGAAAATTTCCACTTTTTAACGAGATATTAAAGATCTATATTATGCGTTATTCAATAACATCATAAACTTCTTTAACCACCTGAGAGCTTGTGTCATCGAGGCCCGGACTCTTCTTTGAGTCCGGACCTTTACTTTGAGTTACTTTTATAGCTAGTTTTTTTCCGATGTTTATAAAATAATTATTAATGCTTTCAGCAATGTTTATTTATCATTAATAACAATGTTATTGTTTTATTATTTGTAATATTTTCTTTTTAGTCTGTTTCTTAAGTTTTTCAAAAAGGATTTTATTACTTTTGCATTTTTTTTTTCATTTTTGTAAGGTTTTTTTTTTTAATTTTTTCGAAGAGTTTCTGTTTTTTCCAGGAAGATTTAATGAGGCCTTGTCAAATCCATAGACTTGTAAGTTTTTGAGCTTGATTCTTTTTTCTTGCTTTGGAAATGCTTTTTCATATGCATAACGGAACTCACAGATAAAATGTTTATAAGCTTTACTTGCATGTTGGTAAGTATACATAAGTTGTTCCCAGTTTATTAGCGATAAGTGACCGCGGAAAATTTTTTAATAATATTTTTTATATTATTTTGTTTGATATCCTGTCAGATTTTTCTTTTCATATTGAATTAGAAGTAAAAGAAGATTTGGAAATGATCACTTACATCGGTTTTTATGATCCAACTTTGAGTTTTATATTTTGAAAAATTGTTAGTATAGATATTGTCTTTGAGTGTTTCAGTTTGATGAGTAACGCAAGTTGGTTTGTTAATTCCTATGGAATAAACTTGTTTTACCTAATGTTACCGAACCTATGGAATAAACTTGTTTTACCTAATGTTGATTTTGATAGACCAAATTCTTTTTGTCTTTTTAAAAACAAAAGTAAAAATCTAATTTTTTCCCTCGATAACATTTTAGAGTACTATTAATTAATTTATCTATTATATAACTTTTTATTATTTTTCCCTAAAGTTTTGTTGTTTACAACTATTTATATTTAAAGATTTGCTAATGTAAAAAATCCTACAAATATATTTTACTTTACTGTAACGTATACTTTACAAGGTAATCGTAAATTATATTGTCTATAAATGTTTTTAAGGTTCCGATGATAAGATTTGTTATCTTCTTTCGGAAACCTAGTTTACACTGTTATCACGATTGTATATATATATATATTTGTAAAGTAATTTTAATAGTTTATTGTATTGTAAAATGACTAACTTTGTAAGCTCAAAAAAAAAAAAAAAAAAATTAGTTATATACTATGTTGATAAAGAAGATTTATAAAACATTTAACTTTATTATCAATTTTATACCTAAATAGTTTATATTGAAGTCCCCCATTTAGTATAGTTGTTTATTTCTTACAGTTTCTAAATACTGCTCTAAATATTTTTCAAACAATTTTATATTACCCCTAGGTGGTCTATAAATCACAGTTAAAAAAACATTCTGTACGTTTTTCCTATTATTAACCAGTTCTAAAGTTAGTGGCTGTTTTTTTAAATTGCAGTGTATTGTGGATAAAAAATTTATACGCCGCCAATTCCTTTACCTCTGGTTTGATGAATGGATTTGTACTCTGTCAATTGAAGGTTCGATTTATTAGAATCTTCCTCTTGACACCAAGTTTCTAAAAAGCATATTACCTTAATTTCATAGTTTATGTTTCGCAACATAGATTTAAAATTTTCAAAATTTTTTTGTAGACTTCTAATGTGTAAAGTTAATGACGAGGAATTGGCAAAACTGGAAAATTTCAAAAAAAACGGTTTTTTTAAATTATTTTATCAGTCATTATTAATCTATTTATTTTACATACTTTATATATACA